TTTTTTTTTTTTTTTTTTTTTTTTTTTTTGAGACAGAGTCTCACCTTGACACCCTGAAGAGAGTGCCATAGAGTCATAGCTCACAGCAACCTTAAACTCTGGAGCTCAAGTGATTCTCTTGCGTCCATCTCCTGAGTAGTTGGGACCAGAGGCACCCTGCACAACATCCAGATATTTTTAGAGATGGAGTCTCACTCTAGCTTGGGTGATCTTGAAAGCCTAAGCTTAGGTAATCTGCCTGCCTTGGTCTCCCAGAGTACTAGGATTATAGGTGTGAGCCACTGCTCTGGGCCTGAGCAAAATATTCTAACAAGATTCTTCATATTTTGCCCATCTTTTAATTTTTTGTTGTTAGCAGTGAAAGGGACTGGCCTGTGTTACTATTTTTAATCTCTTCCAGGGTATTTTCTTAGAGAAATGTAAGGAGATCGTACAGTTTCTATTGTGTTTCTTTGTAGGAAGTAATCATAGTCTTGGTCTTTCTTTTCATAAACCCCATTTTCCCATAAATATCATGATTCCATCTGGGATTCTAAGTTTGTTTTTCAGATACTCCAGGATGTCATGATATGAGGGTTCATTAAGGAAAATCATCAGTTTGGGCTCATCCCCTGATATGAAAAGATATTCAATTCATTTTTAATTAGAGAAGGCTATGAGGTACTAATCACAATTTTAATAATTGGGTAATAGGAAGAATCAGAGAAGATATGATTCAACGAGAACTCTGCTTAAATACTGCAATTAGGAATTTAATTGTGTACCACTGCTTTGGAAATGTATTTATATTTTCTTGTACATTGGACCATTTTCACACCTTACACATGCCTAGGTGCATAGCTACAGAACACACTGAAAACAAGAGCAGATACAGGTGTGGCTGGAGATGAAAGATGGAGGAGGGATTTGGACCTACCTGGCCACGGTAAAATTGCAACAAAAAAAAGTAGCCAGGTTTTGTGGCAGGGGGCTGTAGTCCCCGCCACTCAGGAGGCTGAGGCAAGAGAATTGTCTAAGCTCAAGAGCTGGAGGTTGCTGTGAGCTGTGATGCCACAGCACTCTACAAAGGGTGATAAAGTGAGACTCTATCTCTAAAAAATAAAAATAAAGAGTAAAAGACTTTATTTACTAAAATTGTTTGTAATATCTTTCCTTTATACATAAGCATTACCTTACTGCAGAACTGTCAATTTCTAAGAGGTTTTAAAAAAAATTCAACTCTAGTCCTTCAAGCCTAAGAGATTTCAAATCTCCAAAATTCAACCAAGGATGTTAAAAATAAGTGGCATATGTATATAAATAAATATTATAATCATCAATAATATTCAAAAATATATATTCTATATTTAACAAGAGATTTCACATAAAAACTTTTTATGTGTATATTTTTATTGTTATATAGGTGTTTTGAAAAATTTCATGTGCAAAAACAGTTTTCACGATACTAGCTTATTTCAGTTTAACATATATATTTGAAATACAGTGATTTACAATTTATCCACGTCATACTATAGCTATTTAGTTTTGAAGTAGAAATTCAATGCCTTACATGAACTTAAATATAACATTCCCCAAGCTTTTGGCATCACATAGAGCCACCTAAAAACCAACATTATTGTACAGTTTAAATTTAAAGCAAAATAATAAAATTTACAGTTTAACTCTATGACACTATATGTAAAAGGCTCTTCATTAAAAATAATTCTCAGTTAACAATAGACGTTTGAGAGAAAGCATCAAAATTTATATTCAAGTCTTTTATTAATAAGAAGATAATGGGTCCACCAACTGGAAATTACCTATCCAAGCATGACCATGCAGAACCAGGATTTTAACACCCCAACCTTATGGACAAATGTATTTTCTGTCTCACGGCCAGTGTCTTATTCTTTTTATAAGTGCAATTTTAAGTTTCAGTACTTGAAAATAATACCCTCTATATGTAGTTTAATTTTAAAGTGTTTTGTGACTTTCTAGACCTTGTATTTCCACTAACTTCTCCAATATAGCCAAATTATTTTGAGCAAAATATTTTTTCTGTCTTT